ATTGTGAAAAGCTCATTGATATGATTTTAGATTCCATGTTAACTAACCTTTAAGAAACTACTTATTTGCCGAGTTTTGATTTTCTGTATGTTATCAAAGACAGAATATCCAAAATTACCTATTAAGACAGAATATCCAAAATTACCTATCCATTAATTACCTATTAAGATTCTCTTTCCAGCTGTATATCTTTGTGAAGCCAGATTTTTTTTTTCCATATATTTTGGCCTAAATGACATATTACAACAAACTGAATTCAGAAGCAGTTTTGAGCATCCAGCCTTCTTCTGTTTAGCAAAGGCCAGATATTTGTTATTAAAATTTTAATTTTTTTTTCTTTTGCCTGTGCCACATGGTATATGGGATCTTAGTTCCCCAAACAGGGATCAAACCTATGGCCCCTGCAATGGAAGGCTTTTAAGAGTGTAAAGTGATGCTAATTAACAAGGACCTCCTGTGTAGCACAGGAAGATATATTTAATATCTTATATTAATAATAACCTATAATGGGAAGGAATCTAAAAAAGAATACACACACACACACACACACACACACACGTATATAACCGAATCAGTTTGTGTATACCTGAAGCTAACACAACATTGTAAATTAACTCTATTTTAGTTTTTTTTTTTAATGATTTTTAAAACAGCAGTGCTGAGACCAAAATGCTTGACAGCCGCTAATGTATATATGCTGAGGGTGTCCTCTGAACTCTTGGTGTGGTGTTGGAGGTAGTTGTCTTCTTTTTGGTAAAACCAGGTGTCAATACCTGGCTAAGACAACACATAGCAGTTCTAGTTCTGTCTTCTTCCTCACACCTGCCAAAACATGCTCTGTTTACTCTTCATCAAGGTCACATGAACCATTGCCTGATCAAATGGGGTCGTATCATATTCCCACAGAGCCCAGAAATAGCGATATGGGATGAGAGACAAAGAAATTCATCAGACTTGAATGAAAGCAGTCCATTTCTATTTCTTCACATGGAACTTCAGGACCTTTTAGGATTAATGAGTAATTTCACAACTCTTAGATCTCAGAGAGTGAGGAACTTCACTAGCAATCTCAGTTAATAGATCCAGGTTTCTGACTCAAGACAGCAGTGGGGCCTGAGGAGACATCCGGTGACGAGCTGGGGAGACCAGCGGGGTACATACACTCCATGTTGTAACTACTGGGATCCTTGAAGGCAATGGTCCCCAACTTTTTTGACACCCGGGAACAGTTTCATGGAAGACAGTTTTCTCCAAAGACCAAGGCAGTGAGGGGTAGAGGGTGGTTTCAGGCTGACTCAAGCACATTACATTTATTGTGTGTTTAATTTCTATTAATACTATCATTACATCAGCTCCACCTCAGATCATTGGATCCCGGAGGTTGGGGACCCCTGCCTGAAGGGGCCAAGTGCAATGCCTCCCAGCAGTCCTCTGTAGGGTGTGGGCATAGTGAGTGCCCTCCAGTCTGCTCTTGGCCTATATCCCTTCTTGTTTGGGAATCCTGGGTTTAGGGTGCAGATTTGATCTTCAACCTTCATCCACTGATAAGTTTCTGCAGGGTCCTCCTTTATTATTTTTTTAATATTTATTTATTTGGCTGTGCCGGGTTTTAGTTGTGGCATGCAATCTCTTAGTTGCTGCTTGTGGAATCTAGTTCCCGGACCAGGGATGGAACCCAGGCCCCCTGAATTGGGAGCACAGAATCTTAGCCACTGGATCACCAGGGAAGTCCCCAGGGTCCCCCTTTAAGCAAACAATCAAATAGAAGAAACTGTTCCAGTGTGGTGGCCACACAAGCTCTTAAAAGCCTCCAGACCAGATTTAGAGAGCAAACCTCTGCCTATTGGGTGCCATTCAGGGAAAATAGCAGCTAGTCATTGAGCTCAGGGTTTGCTCCCCAGGACCTGCCCTGCACGAGGGTTTAGGAAGGCAGAGCTTCTCAGCCCCAGCTGCCCATTAGGGCCACCCAGACCTAACTGCATCAGACTGATGGGCGGGTGTGCGGGTGAGAGTTGCTTCTGTTGGTTCCTTTTAGAGATTCTTCAGGTGACTGCAGCCACTGTATCAAGTGTCGGCTCCCACACAGCAGCACTGAGACTCAGAAGCAGCTTGTAGGATGACACCCGCCCCCCAAACAGCACATCCCCAGTAGGATGAATGGCAGCCAGGCTCCGAAGCCTGCTGAGCTGAGCAGCAGCAGGAAGCAGGGTACCGTGTTGACAACCAGCTCCAGGTTGTCACAGCAACTCGCCCAGCACAGCTCCTTCCTCCCCTTGGTGGCTTCCAGAGCCTGGAGGCTCCGCTGTTCTCTCTGATCTTCCTGTCCTTGGTAACCTGGCCTGCTACACTCTTTTTCTTTTTCTCCCAATTACTCCATCTCCTTATCGGTACATTTCCTGGTGCGCAGTCAGACTTCATCTGCATGGAACTCCTCACCCAATTCAACGCCCCCGCAAATACACCTGAAAATAGGAGAGAGTGAAAGGGCCTTGAATGCCAGAGCAGCTGTTACAAGGACTGCGCACTAAGTCTGCAAGGAAGATACCAAGGCCCTTGTTCTTGTCTTAGATCTTGTCTATCTGTTTTGTTTTGCACCTTTAAAACAAAGTTAAGACTTCTAAGGCCTGCTGTAAATTAGAAGTAGGAAGAGAGACTATTCTTGGCACTGAAAGATCAAGAAGTGACTGTAGATCCCTGAATAGCAAAGAAAAGGGCAGAAAAGTATGGAAAATGGATATAAGGACTTAGAATGTAGAACAGTGTGGGCACACCCCAATAGGTCCTAAAGCCATCGTGCCGTTAGAACAATGACCCAGATCACCAAGAAAATGTCCAGTTATATTCAGTTTAAGGAGGCGGAGTAGTGTGTGTTGTGTTTTTTAACTTCAAGCATCCCAAATGATGAAAGGTTTCAGTGATTTCAATTGGTTAAAGGTTTTTAACCCTTTGAGTGCTTTAAAGGGTAAACTCTTCGCTGTCCGAAACTTTTTTATGAGTACTCTAGGTAATTAAGATCCACCCTATTTGTTGTTTTTGTTCATTTATGCCCCTATTCCTAAAATATTAAAAACAAAAGATGTAAGGCATTTGGGTGTTTATATATACTTTCTAGTACCTGGCTCTGGTTCCTAGCAATACTTGCTGCTAGTCCCACAAGATTTCTGCCCATGCGGTACGTATGAGACTTGTCGTATTCCTTTACTCATTCATCTGACTGTGAAAGGGTCACAGTTGCCTCCCTCCCCTCGACTAGCAGCCCTACATCACTTCACCTTAAGTGGCTAGAACATAAACCATTCCACGCCACCCCCTCCGTCATTCTGTGCTCCATAAACAGAACGCTTGGCATGTAGTGGGCACATAATAAACATCTGTTGGATGAATGAATGAGCAAATGAGCCAGTCATCCACAGAATTATCTACATCAACTGTTTGCATGAAGCTATATATTTGATAAATATATAGCCCATTATGAGAGCAGCGTTCAAAGGACACCAGTAGATCCTGCCACCACGAAGAAGATAAATGACTGATACATTGTTGTGTGAAAAAACTAGGATACATAAGTATACAGGTTGTAATCAGAAGTTGTTTTTTTAATTATTATTATTATTTATTTGGCTGTGCTGGATCTTAATTCCAGCACACAGCATCTTTAGTTGCAGCATGTGGGATCTAGTTCCTTGACCAGGGACTGAACCTGGGCCCCCTACATTTGGAACACAGAGTCTTAGCCACTGGACCACCAGAGAAGTCCCTGTGATCATAAGTATTAAAAAAAAAAAAAAAAAGGTTATGGGAAAAATAACTAGCAGAACATCAACTAACGTATAACATGATTATCCATTTACTTATTCACTTAATTCAGCATTTTATGTATGACGCTCATCTAAGCCTTGCAGTTAACCAGACTCACAACTATATCACCAGTGATAAACTACCTGCAACTTACGATTGAAAAGTTAAGAATTGCAGGGACTTCCCTGGCAGTCCAGTGGTTAGGACTCCAAGCTTCCACTGCTGGGGGCCTGGGTTCAATCTCTGGTCTGGGAACTAAGATCCCACAAGCCCCGAGGTACAGCCAAAATTGCAAGAATTGCAGCAGCTATAAACCATGACCAACTCAAGAACACTAATTATGCAATGATAGACTGGGTAAAGCCTCCTTCCAAAAAACAGGAGGGGCCTCAACTCTCTGCTCAGGCACTACAGAAGGAACGTTGACAAGCCTATCAGCCAGATTTCATGATGGCTGATGTGAGAACACTGGCTATGAGTCTGCAGTAAAACAAGGCAATGTGCTGATTTTAGTCTGGGAATACCCAGTGTTGTTGACCCTTTCCGTCAGCAACCCTTGGCTGTGCATCCTCAGTTCACGGCCATCAAGAGATCCCCTGTAGTTCAGTCATAACCCTGGGACCATACCCTGAATCATGGCTTCAGAAGACATTTTTCCAGTATACCTAAATGGATTTATTAGCTTGGGCAGTGCCCAGACCTCAAGTGTGTGAGGAGTACCCACCTACTAACTGCTTTGCAACTGAGTATGCCGACAGCAACCCTGTCTGTAGCCAGGGATCATTTGTATTTATCCTCTTAATAATGTGACTGACAATACTCTGCTGGTGATGGAATTATAATAGATCATCAAGGTGTAAAATGGCATTTCTGGGCACAGTTGGGCACCCTCAGTCCCTTATATCATCTAAGAAAAATGCAAGAGAAAGTTCCTAGCAATATTTAATAAGCGGTAAAGGAAACCTCATCATAGGACCTAATTTGTATTGCCTCAATATAAGATTAATATCTCCTGTGTTAAATTTGTATTTACAAAGAGGCTTCTTTTGATAATTAGGGATGCTGTTGCTGTCTTTGTAGACATCCTTAGTATGCATGTTTTTTTTTTCCTCTCTGGGCTGGGTGTTATGCCAGATCAACTTCCAGAACAAACCTGGGCACCAGCCATGAGTAACCCTCTGTTTCTCTTTCTCCCCATCCAGGTTACCCCTTGGCTTTATTTTATCGGCGTTACCTTTTCTACAAGGACAGCTACCTCATCCACCTTTTCCACACTTTTACGGGCCTCTCAATCGCTTATTATAACTTTGGTGAGTGAACCGAGTTAGCACCACAATTATAGGGAGCCTGAGAAGGAACAGACCTGAACAAAACATCCTGGAGGGAATCTGATGGAGAGTGAAGTTGTGATGCTCTGGGAGCAAAGAGAGGGTTTTATGGGCAGGAACACAGCTTAGCTTCTCCCTTCATGTACATTTCTCTCCCAGATAAAAGCATTTTGAGAATGGTTACCCTTAGCAGAGGGACTTCCCTCGTGGCTCAGCGGTAACGAACCCGCCTGCCAGTGCAGGGGATGAGGGTTCCATCTCTGGGTCAGGGAGATCCCCTGGAGAAGTAAATGGCAACCCACTCCAGTATTCTTGCCGGGGAAGTCCCATGGACAGAGCCTGGTGGGCTACACTCCATAGGGTCGGTCACAAAAGAGTCGGACACGACTTAGTGACGAAAACAATGAAACAACCCTTACCAGACGCCATCCACAGAGAGACACCAGTTTATCTCTGCTGGGGCTGGAACTGGCCAACAGACCCAAGCAGTAACCCCAGGAGCATCCCTTAGGCCCAACATCCAGAAATACAGGAGCTCCCTGGCAGTCCTGTGTTTTTATACAGTTAATTTCCTTCCCTTCCTCCAAATCAGGAGGCTCCTTAAAAAGAAGAAAGATCCAGATACCAAAGTTTTTTTTTTTTTCTGTATATCTCCTCCTTGTGTTCAGAAGTGTCAGGAAGGGTGGGAATGTAAGGGCGGTAGGGGGAAAACAGGCAACAACATGCTGTCTCCTCCACACCCAGGAACCCAGCTCTACCACTCCCTGCTCTGCATCGTGCTGCAGTTCCTCATCCTCCGGCTGATGGGCCGAACTGTCACCGCTGTGCTCACCACCTTTTGCGTCCAGATGGTAAACGTGTCTCTCCCAGGGCAGCTCAGGTCACAGCCAGCCGGGGTGGGGGCGGGGGGAGGATGAGGGTTGGGGTGGAGAAGAAGCCGTGGACTGGGAGATCCACAGCGACCCTCAGCAGCGAGGCTCTGGTTCAGTGTCCAGAGGCCCCGGGAACGTCCCCTGCAGGCTGCCTGCCTCACCGAGGGGTGGCCACTGGCCCTCTGCCCTGGACCCCGCCATCAGGGTTCTTGAGCCTGCCAGGATTAGCGCAGCCGTCCGTCCACGACAGGAGTCCCTCAAAGTCAAGGCGGGAGACCCACTTGGAATGAGCTGCAAGATGTTGAGCATCTACATTGTCAGTTTGGGGAAGTCCCCAACGGTCCCATGGTTGGGGCTCTGAGCTCTCACTGCCGAGGGCCCAGGGGCCCAGGTTCAATCCCTGGTCACGGAGCTGGGATCCCGCAGGCCATGCGGTGAGGCCAAAAAAACAAAATTTTTTTTTAACTTTTTAATGCTTTAAATGCTGTTTAGCCCTCATTTTGCTGAGAAACCTTGAGGACGTCCGTTTCCCTTTACAGGTTCACTTTCTAGAGCAAGAGAAAGGAAAAAGTGAAAGAATACCTTGGATTTCAGAGCAGGGGGAGATGCACTGTAGTGATGGTGGAATAAATAAATACTCACCCCTCTCCTAGGCCTACCTTCTGGCCGGATATTACAGCACAGCCACCGGCACCTATGACATCAAGTGGACGATGCCACACTGTGTCCTGACCTTGAAGCTGATCGGTGAGTAGTGGGTCCCCTCTGACACCCACGCCCCTCCCATCCTCCCACCCACCCTCAGTCCACAGGCCTCATCGTGTGCCCCCTCCCTCCGCTCCACCCACACCTTCTCTCTCTGCTCAGGTCTGGCCATGGACTACTATGACGGAGGGAAGGATCAGGTAAGTACCCTCCCTCCACAGAGAGGTGAAGGAGTTTAACCCAAAGGGAGGAGGATGGCTATTATCATCAGGGGTGGGGCCTCCCCTCCCGCCCTCGGGCCGGGTGGTATGATCACCATTTCTGACTGCCCAGGTCCAGCTTCTGCTCACAACCCAGTGATCCAGCCAGCAAGGCCCTGGGAAGAGGGCTGCAGCTGGCCATGGCTGAACTTCCCCCCGACACACCCACTTCCCCCTGAAGCACCAACTCCTCTCCATATTGTCATCCCCTCAAAGAGGTTCTGTTTGCAGAACCCAGTTCAGTGGGGCACCAGGGCGGGGAGCCCTCACACTGGCTCTTGGGGGTCCTGAACTCCTTGTTCTCTTCTCGGCACAGAAATCCCTGTCCTCCGAGCAGCAGATATACGCCATACGGGGTGTCCCCTCCCTGCTGGAAGTCGCCGGCTTCTCCTACTTCTACGGAGCCTTCCTGGTGGGGCCCCAGTTCTCCATGAACCACTACATGAAGCTGGTGCGGGGAGAGCTGACCGACGTCCCAGGGAAGATACCAAACAGGTAATCACCCCCTTCATCAAGACCTCCGTTCAGGCCTCTCACCCAACACAAAGGCGCTTCTGAAGTGACCTCCCAAAGGCCGGCCAGCTGCATTGTCTCCTGTGGGCCAGGCTCTTGCCCTGTGACCAGCACTCCATGCCTGCTCATGGCGGGGAGTGGGCACTTGTCAGCTTGGGTCACTTCCCACCATCCCTCCCGACCCTGTGGTACAAACATCAAAATACACTTTTATGCCATAGGATTTTGCCTGAAGCAGTCATGTCCCTGCCTTTAAAACCCACTTTCCCAGTTTAAAAAATGTTAATATATCAAAATCTATATATTTCACAGTCCCATGGACTATAGCCCGCCAGGCTTCTCGGTCCATGGGATTCTCCAGGCAAGAACACTGGAGTGGGTTGCATTTCCTTCTCCAGGGGATCTTTCCCACCCAGGGATCGAGCCTGGGTCTCCCACATTTCAGGCAGATTCTTTACCATCTGAGCCACCAAGAATCAGGAAACTGATCAAGTTACCAGGCAGATCCCTTTGCTGAGAACTTTGGCCAGCCTGTGTCTGAGCATCGATCCAGCCAGGAGAGAAGAGAGCAGATCCAAAGCTGAGCTCTGCATCGGGCTTTCAGTCCCCATGTAGCCCGCACACACCAGGGAGACCCAGAGGTCCGCCAGACCTGAGGGGAAGCACCCAGACTCAGGGCTTGCATGCTCTGTTCCCCTGCCCAGCCGAGGCAGCGCGCGCCCTCGAGAAGAGCAGAGGGAGGGGCCTCTGCCATCACCCGCCATGACCCCGCCTGTCCCTTTCCAGCACCATACCTGCTCTCCGGCGCCTGGGCCTGGGCCTGGTCTACCTAGTGGGCTACACCCTGCTTAGCCCCCACATCACCGAAGACTATCTCCTCAGCGACGACTACCAAGTGAGTGCTTCGTCAGCAGAGCGGCACAGCAGCACCAGAGACACCAGGCCAGGCCCCCCGTAGATAGCTGAGAGGTGCGAGCACCACCCACAACTGCCTGTTGGTTTCGCTCTAGATCTGAGAGTTGGCGTCCATCAGCCAGCGCTGCACAACCTCGCGGGCACAGGGCCATGCCGGGTACGCATCGGCACCTCAACCTCCCCCTGCAGCTCAGCTTGGGTTCATTCTCTTTAACAGCCGGGCTATCTGGCCAAGCTCCTTCAGCCCTGGGCAGACGGGCACTAGGAGCCCAGGACCCGGGGAGAGATGCTGGCTCGGCCCCATCTCCTTCACTGATGATGAATGTGGACATAAGAGCCCCCAGCACCAGTGTCCCAAGTGCCCCCCACTTTAGGAGAGGAGGTGAGGCCCCGCTGTCTCGGGGCCTCTCTGAGGGGTTTCCCCTTGGCCTATTGCAGAGTAGTCAGCCGCATATGTGAGGTAAGACAAGGAAGGGCTCCTGGTCTGGTGGCATTCCTAATCCACCCACGTTCTCTTCTCTCAAGAACGGCAGCTTCTGGTTCCGCTGCATGTACATGCTGCTCTGGGGCAAGTTCGTGCTGTACAAATATGTCACCTGTTGGCTGGTCACGGTGAGGAGAGAGGAGTGGGGTCACAGACCACCTGGGGGGTAGAAGGGGCGGGCTTACAGGGGATGAACCTGTTGGGGGGTAGAGGGGCAGGATCACAGACCACCTGCCTGGAATGGGAGCCGGGTGGCGGTGGGACATTCATGGCCTGGCTCCCTCAGGAAGGCGTGTGCATTCTGACGGGGCTGGGCTTCAATGGCTTCGATGAGTATGGGACAGCCAAGTGGGATGCCTGTGCCAACATGAAGGTGTGGCTCTTTGAAACCAACCCCCGCTTCACGGGCACCATTGCTTCTTTCAACATCAACACCAACGCCTGGGTGGCCCGGTAAGCACCCAGGGCAGAGATGTGTCACTTAACTTCTTCACCTTTCCCCAGTGCAGGCAGACCCCTCTAGGCACTCTGACACCCCCAGCCATGCCCACTTTTGTCCCCAACTCAACGCCCCCAAAACCATTCCTGTTATGTTTCAAAATCAGAAACAAGGTAGTTAGCGGCCTGGGTACAGGGCTAGCTAGCCCACCCCTCTCCGCTGCAGCCTCGGCACCAGGCAGGCCATCCGTCATCCATGGTACCAAGCGGGGCCCCAGCTGAGCCTTCATTCAGTCCGTTCTGTCTAAACCATGACTCATCAGCTTGGCTGCCTTTCATTCTGAAGTGACCGGCGCATACTGCCTTCCTGCCCCAGTGCGGGTGCCAGGAGGCAGGATGGGTCTGAAGCTCATCCTCTCTCACCCTTCTCTCCAGCTACTTCTTCAAACGACTCAAGTTCCTGGGAAATAAGGTTCTGTCCCAGGGCCTCTCGCTGCTCTTCCTGGCGCTCTGGCACGGCCTCCACTCGGGATACCTGGTCTGCTTTCAGATGGAGTTCCTCATTGTGATCGTGGAGCGACAGGTGAGCCCTCAGGACGGCGGGCAGAGGGGGCCTGAGCAGAGGAGCAAGGCTGAGTGAGCCCATTCCTTCCTCCCCAGGCTGCCAGCTTGATTCGAGACAGCCCAGCCCTGAGCAGGTTGGCCTCCATCACCGTCCTGCAGCCCCTCTACTATCTGGTGCAGCAGACCATCCACTGGCTCTTCATGGGTTACTCGATGACCGCTTTCTGCCTCTTCACTTGGGACAAGTGGATGAAGGTAGCCAGGGACCTACCCGCCAGGAGGGGAAAGGACTGCTAAGAGGTCAGGCGGGCAGCTGGGGGGGGCGACAGTTCCAGGCTACTGTCTACCACGGAGGCTGCGTGTCCCCACAGGTGTACAAGTCCATTTATTTCCTTGGCCACGTCTTCTTCTTGAGTCTACTATTCATATTGCCTTACGTCCGTAAAGTGATGGTGCCGAGGAAAGAGAAGTTAAAGAAAATGGAGTAATCCCTGGTAAGTACACCTCCCTACAACTGAGCATAAACTAGCAGGTCACAGAAGGCAGCCATGGACTGGGATGGGGCAGGGAACGGCTAGTCCTGGGAAGATGGGGTGAACCTCACCAGGCCTGGCTTCCAGAAACACGGTATGGGGCGCTGACTGCTCTGAGAGGTGCCCGGAGGGAGCTGGAAGGGCTGGGGTCCGGGGACCAGGAAGTGACGCCAACTGGCCTCCCGCTGCCTCCCCTCGCAGGTGGCCCACTGCAGGACTGGCACACCAACGACCTGCCTCCCTTTGCAGCACTCTGCCCTGGAGCACAGAGAACCAGAAGCCAGGGTGAGGGAAGACGGGGCTCCCCAGCTGTGCCTCTGCCGCCGGCCACGTCTCCATTTGGGGCCAAAGGGGAAACTCGTGGGAGGAGCAGAGGGGCCCAGGTCCCTCCTCTGGGCTCCCCCATGCACGATGCCTTATCTCTTCCCCCTCTAGCGAGGAACTTGTGTTTTTCTTCTGCCAATTTACTATGATTGTATCCATGCCGCTGCCTCCGCCCCCCCCTCCATGGGGGGAAGGGAGGGGCAAGGCCCTGCCTGCCCCACTTTTCTACCTTGGACTGACTGTACCACATAAAATCACTTCAGTTTGTTTGGTTTTTCACGGCTGGCGCCCCTGGCTACTTTCTTTCAAACACAGCCCTCCACGCGTGCCATGGCTGAAACAATCAGGGCTCCCTCGTTGAGGGCGCCAGACTGCAAATACCATAACCTCACGGGTCTTGTCTGAGGGGTTACACCAGGTCACACCATCAGATGCTGCCGAGTTTAGGAACTCTCAGAGGACAACCAGGTTTACAAGAACAACGTTTATAAAATAAACAGATAGCAGGCGTACAGCCTGGACTTCCGCAGACCCCAGTCTGGGTGCAGGGAGGGTCTTCCAACAGTCGACTGAGGACAGGGGCAGGAAGCAACGTCTGCACTGTGTCGGGGGACTGGGCCCTGCTGTCAGAGAACCCCCCACGCTTCTTCAAAGGCAGTGGTGACTTTTGCACAGGTGAGGGCGGCAGAGAGCGGGTAGTTGCTGATGGACACCATCTTCTCTGTGTACTCCACGTCCACCTGAGGAAAGAGCATCTGTCAGCGGCTCGTTCGCTCTATCACAGGTTCAGCCCTTCTTTAGGGCAGAAAAACTGCCATCTCGTAGCACTGTTTACCACCAGTGTGGGAAAAGGATGGAGAAGGCCTAGTTCCAACCATGAGGCACACCCCAGCGTTCCTCACAGGATGTGCTGGGAGCAGAAGGTGGAGCCCCTCAGCTTTTTTCTTACCCTCTACCTCCCAACTCCTACGGATCATCAAAATGCTGAGTGCTCTCGGGATTCTGTGCTAAGCTTCAGCTCCGTGAAGAATCTGAGAGTTGAGCCCAGGCCTTACCTTGCCATGAGCAAAGGCCCCCACCACGAAGACAATGGGGTCACTGCTGGGCGCCAGCTCTCGCACATCACTGACAACTGGGACAGAAAAAGAAGTGCCAATTTTCATACACCCAACTGGAAAGTGGTCTGACACTGGATTCTTAATCACCTAAAGAAAAATAAATAAAAATCAGCCCCAGAAACATACCCAGAACACCACCTCCAACCAGTAGGTAACAATACCTCACCTTCAAGAGCTTCTGGGGGCCATCAGCCGCTCAAACGCTGAGTTTGTGTAAAAGCTGAACTAGGACAGAAAAACAGAGTTCAGAGCTAGGTGGAAACCCAGCTTCTCATGCCCAATGATTCAACCAGAAAATCCTTAGGTGAGCTGGTTACACGTGTCCCGTGCATCCACACAACTTAGATGCTCTCAACAAGTAGCTGCCAAGCACGAGGCTGGTTGTGCAGTGACAGCGCCCCNTGACACTGGATTCTTAATCACCTTCAAGAGCTTCTGGGGGCCATCAGCCGCTCAAACGCTGAGTTTGTGTAAAAGCCATGAGGCCACAAAAGCGGTCAAAGGTCCTGGGAATTCGAGTCTGGGGGTTCACTTCAATCAGCACATTCTTCTGCGTGTGGATGTAAACCTGGAGCAAGCCTGCCCGGTTCAGGGGACTGTCCATCAGCATGAGTAAACTCTGAGGGAGGTGAGGTGGAGACCAGGGCACAGTCAGGATGGAAGAGAAGCCCCAGAGCTGCCTTACCTTCCGTCCAGAGGCCCCAGGGCCTGAGCTCTGCCCCTGGAGTTACCTGGTGGGCTATGTCTGGCCTCACTTCCCCAGGGTCCCGGCCATTCTTCAACAACATGGACTTGTGCTTGTCACAGTTGAGCAGCTCATATGTCTTTCCCACCTGAGAACAGGGAACAAGAGCTACATAAGCTGCTTTTCCATGGGATGCCAGTTCTCAAAGAGGGGTCCCCAGATCAGCAGCATCTGAAAACCTCCTGAACAACCAGATTCTTAGGCCCACCCCAGATCTATACATCAGACACTTGGGGTGGGGCCCCCAAATCCTGCAGGGGATCCTCTGTGCCCACATCTTCCTGATCCCCACCCCTATCACTGATCTTGGAGGGAAGAGGGAGGAAGAGGGCAGCCTGTGATTCCACACACTCTAAACTGGATCTAATTTTAAAACCTATGGGTATCAAGCAAAGCCAGTGAGGGGTGCTGGAACCAGGCAAAACTTAGTTAGTGAGCAAGGCTGAAGGCTTGTTTACCACAAAAGCATTACATGCACACTGGGCAAAACATACATGGTCACTACCCTCAGTCTGCTTAAAACAAGCATGCACAATGTGAAGCACTGCAAATCTGAACAGGAAGAAGTGTGAAAACCAGTGAGGCCAGAGGTAGTGTAACCAAGGAACATTCTCAGAAGTAAAAGAAAAGGGGATGGCTCCAGGTTTAAGGTGTATGAGCAACAGCTAAAAGAAACAATTGCAAATTGGAGCCCTGAGGAGCATTAGGGTGGTCAGTAAAAAGTTTTAAGTACAAAAAAACGTTTGAAAGGCTAAGTTTTTATGTACCAGTACAACATTTGTATGTCTGGCAACATTTTGAGCTAACTCCAAAAAGTTTAGAGGAAGAGGCATGTAGACTTTGAAATTAACTGAGTAAGTGACATAAAAATGTCACAGAGAACAAAACCAAAGGGCCAAGAATTAAAGTCCATGGAACACTCTTGTATGTATGCGCGTGCTCAGTTGTGCCCAACTCTGTGGGCCCGGGGACTGTAACCCGCCAGGCACCTCTGTCTATGGGACTTCCTAGGCAAGAATATTGGTGTGGGGTGCCATTTCCTATTCCAAGGACATTCTAAGTTATAGAAAAAAAAAACAATCTCTTGAATAGATGAATCTAGTTTTGACTCATTAGTAAGTTATAACCAAGGTTTTGTTCTTTTAATGGAATAGAACAGAAAACATCAGAGTAATTCAAATGCAGTCATAGTAGATAAAGGACTATGAAACTTTCTCCTTCATATAGCTGAGTGTACAGACTGGCTCACCGTGTAATTTTTCTTTTTATTGTGGGCTGTGGTTAATAAGCTTGAAAACCACTAATTAGAATAATCAAAGAATGAATACTATGTGTATTCTATAGTAGGTACTGGAGATACAAGAATTTTTAAAACCTTATTCTGTCCTTTTTATACCTTCTAGTGGCAAAGGCAACCAACCACATGAATATTTAATTCAAATTGTGATAAACATGAAGGAAAACTAAATGGTTCACTAAAGGATTATGAGGACCTGATTTATACCAGGAAGGGAATCATTTCTATGAGACAGAGTAACATTTAATAACTGAAGAATGAGTAACAGACTCAGTAATTGTCCAGTGAATAAACATTAAGTAGGAATTAATGAGGCAAAGAGCTGAGTAAAGGGTGCTTGCAGTTAAACAACATTATCTTCAATGGCCTTAAGGTATAAGAGAACTTAGTGCTTTCAAAGAGCTTAGAGGAGGCCAGTGAAGCTGGAATACAAAGAATAAATGAAGAGGGGACTTCCCTGGTGGTCCAGTGATTAAGACTCTACACTCCCAATGCAGGGGGCACAGATTAGATCCCTGGTAGGGGGGAACTAGATCCGGCATGCCACAATGAAGATCTCATGTGTCACAACTATGACCAAGCACAGTCAAATAAATATTTTTTTAAAAAAAGAAGAAATAAGAGCAGGCTGATGAGGCTGGCAGAAGCAAGAGGTACCAGCACAAGGAAGACAAAAGCTAACAGTACAGAAGACTTTTCAACCTTCAGCTTCAACTTCAGCAATGGATTTTATCACCCTTGGAGTATCATTAATGACAACTGGCCTAATTTACTCTGGAGTATGTTCTAGGAACTTTAATTTAGCCACAACCTTTTCACCTTCTTAATTCAGGTTAATAAGTAACCTGAATCAGTAACAACTAATTCCAAGTGACAAAGATTATTCTAAATCCTTTACACACATTAATTCCTTTAATCCTCCCAACAATCCAGTAAAACAGGTACAAATACCATCACCCCCCCCCACAGAACATACCAGGAAAGAAGTGGTTAAGTGAATCTGAGAACTAACAGCTGGAGGGATGAATATGTGAACCTATAATTAGGTTAGAAATATCAATTATAGAAGAAAATGAAAGGAAACCTGATTAGCTGGTCATTTAAAAGGTTTTCTAAACTGCAAGCTTAATAAAGTGCCACAGTGGCCGAGGAAAGAAAGGTGGAAAAGAATTGCACCTAGATTACTATGGAAATGTACTACTTTTAAAGCACGTTCATTACAATACCCCTGCAAGATATTAACTGCGTTCTACAAACTGACTACAAACTTTTCTCAAGAATCAGATGCTTAAAACAAGTGTAAGATCCTGAGTTAAAATTCAGATCTGACTTCTCAACTTGTGCTATTTCTTCTGGCTCTATTCAATGAACAAGTTTAGCTCTAAAGGGCAAGAGAAACAATGTCAAAAGGAATGAGAACACTGCATAGCATAAAGTTTAAGACAGGGAACTGCCAGATTTATTTGGGAGAAGAGCCAAATGATAGGTAAAAATAAAGACGTGAACGTATTAATGATAACCTGATCCAGGCAGTGTTTTGAAATGTATAGCAGTAATAAAGGAGACTGACAGACACGTTTCAATGAATCAAAACACTAAGTCCCTACAAATAAAAGGGTGAGCCGACTGAGCTAAAGAGCCTCTTGATGAAAGTGAAAAAGGAGAGTGAAAAAGTTGGCTTAAAACTCAACATTCAGAAAACTAAGATCATGGCATCCGGTTCCATCACTTCATGGCAAACAGATGGGGAAACAGCGGCTGACTTTATTTTTCTGGGCTCCAAAACCACTGCAGATGGTGATTGCAGCCGTGAAATTAAAAGATGCTTGCTCCTTGAAAGGAAAGTTATGACCAATCTAGACAGCATATTAAAAAGTAGAGACATTACTTTGCCAACAAAAGTCCGTCTGGTCAAAGCTATGGTTTTTCCCGTAGTCATGAATGGATGTGAGAGTTGCACTATAAAGAAAGCTGAGCACCGAAGAATTGATGCTTTTGAACTGTGGTGTTGGAGAAGACTCTTGAGAGTCCCTTGGACTGCTAGGAGATCCAAACAGTGCATCCTAAAGAAGATCAGACCTGGGTGTTTATTAGAGGGACTGATGTTGAAGCTGAAACTCCAATACTTTGGCCACCTGATACTGAGACCTGACTCATCTGAAAAGACCCTGATGCTGGGAAAGATTGAGGGCAGGAGGAGAAGGGGACGACAAAGGATGAGATGGTTGGATGGCACCACCGACACAATGGACAGGGGTTTGGGTGGACTCCGGGAGTTGGTGACGGACAGGGAGGCCTGGCGTGCTGTGGTTTATGGGATCGCAAAGAGTCGGACACGACTGAGCGACTGAACTGACTGACTGAGCTACAGTAATTACCTTTCCCCTTTGCCCAGTAAACTTGTCTTGGGATGAACCGAGGAACGACACGAGGGACGAAACTTTTCCCCTAAGACGACTTTGGGGTTAGGGTTATCACAGAATCCTGGTAAATCAGTCGAAGCAAGGATGTGAGCGGCAGAAATTCAAGAGCAAAGAAAACCAGTACTGCCAACCCAGGATGTTAAACGAAAAGGCAGTCGATTAGGCCACTCCTCCAAAAGCATGTTCCACCCGTCTCTGCTTTCTCCATCCATCACCTCCTGAGCCCACCACCCTCACCACACCGGATCCCATTCTATCGATCCACTAGCTCTCCATCTCCTAGCCCGAAACTACCTTGACTGTCTCCAGACTGGCTCCTTCCAGCACCACAATGAGCCTACGGCCCCCGATCTTGCTTCCCGCCCCAAGTCGGGGCCGCTTCAGCGCCACAGCATCCCAATCCTCTTTCTGCTCCGCAGCCCGGCGCTCACGAGATTGGAATGCCCCACTGGGCGCAGCCATCTTGCATCCGGATCGGAAATTGTGTAACGTCTTTAAATTGGCCTCAAGCTCGCCCCAATCGCCAGCTTCCTTCCGTCTGCCATTTCGAAAGTGGGCTCTCGGAAATGGCGACGGCTCCGGGTCTGGCACTCGCGAAGCCTCTCTGGGAGGGCAGGGCTCCAGAAAGGGGCTGGACTTCCGGATGCGTATTTCCTGTGCGCCCAGCTCCGGTCCGCCGTGGGCTGAGGGGAGGGATCAGAAGGGAGCGCACTTCCGGTGCCCTTTCTCCAGCGAGCACCTGGGGCCCGGACCCTCGTGTGAAGGGTGGCCATCCCTAACCGGGGAGCGCGGTAGAGGCGGGCCGGCATCCCCTTCTTACCACTGGTGCCGCCGGCCTCAGGACCGAACATGGCCCAGAACTTGAAGGACTTAGCGGGACGGCTGCCCTCCGGGCCCCGGGGTATGGGCACGGCGCTGAAGCTACTGCTGGGGGCCGGCGCCGTGGCCTACGGCATCCGCGAATCGGTGTTCACCGGTGAGCAACCTGCGCCCGCTCTCCGGACTCCCGCCAGCCTTCCCTGGACCCCTTCCCAGCCCCGCCGGGGCCCCGCGCTCACCCAACCCCTCACCCCGCCCCACCAGAAGCTGGCACGTACTCAGAGCCCGGCCTGGACTGACCCCCACCCCTCTCCCTGCAGTGGAAGGAGGGCACAGAGCCATTTTCTTTAATCGGATCGGAGGCGTGCAGCAGGACACCATTCTGGCCGAGGGCCTTCACTTCAGGTAATGGCGGGCAGAGCTGACTGCCCCTGACCCTTCACCCTTGAACGTCGACCCACCAGTACCTGTAGTAAGACTTACAGCGAGATTCAGCGCTGCCTTTCCCCTCCTCACCCCATCTCCCCGAACAGTCGTGCTGCCCAAATCTCCAGCAGCACATACTGTTATTTTCCGAAGGGAGAAGAGAATTTCTCCTTGACCGTGGTCATTAAGAGGAGGAGCAGGCCAAGAAACACGTGGTGAAGGAAAACCGGGCAGAACTAGTGAAATCGCAGCTTCCTAACCCCTATCCCTGTTCCCTCCCCTCCAGGATCCCCTGGTTCCAGTACCCCATCATCTATGACATTCGGGCCAGACCCCGAAAAATTTCCTCCCCCACAGGCTCCAAAGGTAGGTCTGGGCACTGGGGCGTCCCTGACAGTAAAAACGGCAGCCTGGTCAGAGACTGGGGAAGATGGTAGTGTCAGATCTCTTGGGCCTTGGCTTCCACTTCTGCAAACAAGGTGTAATAAAAGCACCTGCCCCAGGGATTAAAGCAGTACATTCTGGACATGTTGTGCATTTGCTCATTTTCAACTGTTCCTCCCCCTAATGTAAACTCAGTAAGAGCATTGTTTGTCTTTTGTCTTATTCACTACCTAGGTCAAAGCCTCGCTTTAAAACCTTGTTTAACTGTTTGATTTATTAATCTACTGGTGTATTCTGTTCTGGGGAAACTTGGTCCCACTCTTCACCTATTCCCTAAGGCATCTATTCCCTCCTAGACCATTCAGATGTTGTGCCTTTGAGATTCCCCAGATCAACGCTTACACAAATACACACACACACACTCAATGAGGCAAGTAGCTCACTTGTAATGTACTTTTTTGCATTATCTTTAGTGAAGGTTGCTTAAATTCCCAAAACCCTAGGCCTTAAAAATAAAGGATTCACAAAACAGCCTTTGTTCTCAAGTCCTTACTGTCTAGTTCAGGAGACTGGTGATAATGATACAGTGTAACAACTTTCAGTGAAGCGTCAAAAAAAAAAAGTCATTTTCTGGAGGAGGGGCCATGCATAGAGAAGATTTGAGGATGGACAAGTACGCACTTGGCCTGTGCTGAGTCACCTCTCGTCAGCCTCCTCACTCTCCTCTGCCCAAGGCCGTTCTGGGCCACAGGGCATTGCCCTAGATAGCCACGGAAGCGCACACAGGAGAAAATGCCTGGGGAGGGCGGCTTTGCCAAGAAGCCAGGTGAGCCCCCATAGCCTTGCCCAGCCACTGCTGACCTCTCTCTTAGACCTGCAGATGGTGAACATCTCCCTGCGGGTGCTGTCCCGACCCAATGCCATGGAGCTGCCCAGCATGTACCAGCGCCTGGGGCTGGACTACGAGGAGCGAGTGTTGCCGTCCATTGTCAACGAGGTGCTCAAGAGCGTGGTGGCCAAGTTCAATGCCTCCCAGCTGATCACCCAGCGGGCCCAGGTCTGACTCCAGCTCCCTTTTTCTGCAACAACGTCAGCATTTCTCTCCGAAGCCCTATGGGCGGGCTTTTAGGAAAGACAGCTCATTAGGAAAGGACTGTAACCTGAGGTCCCATCCACCCAAAAAGCCGTGCTGATGGCCAGTGTGGGGAACGAGAGCCGGGCCTGGTTAGTGTCAGGCGGGGAGGGAGAACCATGACCTAGACCTGTACACACGATTTTGGAAAGAGTGGAGCTTAGCAGTCCGTGTGACCGAGGCCTCTCCAGCTCGGCCCGCGGGCCCAGTGAGGAACTCGGAGAGCATCACTGTGCCCCTGTAGTGTTTCGGAGATCTGGGATTCCCGTGGTCACGGCAGCACGCCTTCCTTTCAGTTCTCCGGCCCCCTCAACTCCCCTATCCCATCTGCCCCCTCCCGCCAGGTGTCCTTGCTGATCCGACGGGAGCTGACAGAGAGGGCCAAGGACTTCAGCCTCATTCTGGATGACGTAGCCATTACCGAGCTGAGCTTCAGCCGCGAGTACACGGCTGCTGTGGAAGCCAAACAAGTGGGTGAGTGAGGCGAAGGCGTCTGAGGAAGCAGGCAGGTGCGACTGCGTTCCCGCTGCCTCACATCCCCGTGACCCCGATTCTCTCCCACCACAGCCCAGCAGGAGGCCCAGCGCGCCCAGTTCCTGGTGGAGAAAGCGAAGCAGGAACAGCGGCAGAAGATCGTGCAGGCGGAGGGTGAGGCCGAGGCAGCGCGGATGATATCCTTCTGCAGAAGCGCTCCCAACGCAGGCCGGGGGCATGCGGCTCCACATCCTCCCCCGTAGGCTGGCTGATGAGACTTAAGGCGAATGCGACCTGTGCCCTCTGACCCCTGGGGATGGGGTTTCCAAGTGGGATCTGAGAACTTGGTGGGGCACCTGAGGGCTGGCTCCCTGCCATGAGGCAGATCAACAGCACAGCTGGCCTTGCCTCACTTCGCCGCTGCCTCCAGTTACTGGCAGCAGCCTGCAGGGAGGCCGACAGGTGGGGTTGGGCACGAGCCAGGTGAGCGCAACCTTGGATCTGACAGCCCAGAGGAGGGCCGAGCCCGGGGAGTAGTTAGGACAGGGCCCTGATAGAGATCTGGCCTCATGTGGCCCCTTAACCGCATCCTGCTTACCTGGGAGAGGCCCTGAGCAAGAACCCAGGTTACATCAAGCTACGCAAGATCCGGGCAGCCCAGAACATCTCCAAGACGGTGAGTGTGCACACACTGAAGGGAGGGAAGTAGAATCTTGCTTGTTCAGATTTCTGTTCAAATTGGCTTGTCTGACACTTCTCATCAAAAATTACTCCCTGGGCTCCCCTAACCTGTTCATGCCTCTTGTGGACCTAACCCATCACCGTTGCTTGTTGCTTTGGATCCCTGAGTGAGCACGGAAACCAGGGCGCTCATCCCAGCATCCCTGTTCTAACCCCCAGGTGTTCTGTCAGTGGTTATTGAATTGTACAGGTAGGAATCAAGGTCTTTTTTGCCTGATGCAAACATTTGTCTCATTTCCTGCCCTGTAGATCGCCACCTCACAGAATCGTATCTATCTCACTGCTGACAACCTCGTGCTCAACCTACAGGATGAAAGTTTCACCCGGTGAGAGACAGGGCCTTCACGGGTCGTCCACACAGATCAGGGGCCGGAGTCTGGCTGCTCCGGCTCTGGAGCCTGTTACTAGCCTACTCATATGACCCTGGAAAACACCATTTCTCTGGATCAAAGTTAGAAACGTGGGTGGTTAGTAATTCCGACCTTGAGTCTCACGGGATTGATTTTATGAGATCGAAGAGCATTGTTCCTGTAAAGGCTTTAATTGTAAAGTTCCCTTCCACTGAAAAGCAGTGAAAGATGATATTCAGTCCTTGTCTTGGGGAGCTGCTCTGGGTCACCGAAGGATGCTAGGAAGGCAGAGGTGAAACCTGGCAGTGGCCACAGGAGCATCTCTCTTCCTTCCCAGAGCCAGAGACTCTGGCTTCCAGCAGGCTTGCCTTTTTCTTTTGGGAGGGAGGAGGGGTTTAGAGCTGGGTGGGGCCTGAAACTTATCAATCACATGTGCCTTTCTCTTGTCTTTCTGTGTTCCTTGTTCATGTGGTGACCTCGTGTCCACAGGGGAAGGTAAGTAGTCGACACAGCGTTGGGCTGTGGGGTTTATCTCCCAGTACCTGCCTTTCCCCCTCTAGCTCCCCTTTCTGACCTCCCCACCCACACACCAGGGAGGAGGGGGTGGCCCGAGATGCTCTGCCTCTCACAGGTGTGTCCCCTAATCATGTCACCGTCTGTCTCATTTCCACAGTGACAGTCTCATCAAGGGTAAGAAATGAGCCTGGTGACCAAGAACTCTGCCTCCAGGGAGGAAGTGGATCTGCTTCTGCCTTGGTGTTTGAGGAGTCACCTTGGGGCCCACCCCACCCCCACCCCGCTATCATGAGATGGTCCCTCTGCATCGCTCCTCTCAACCCTTCTGATGAACAGACTGACCACTTCTGGGGCAATGACTTTCCTCCCTGTGTTGGCCAGGGGTGTTGGGACAGTGTGATTTCTCAGTGATTTGCTACGGTGTTAATTCCTCCCTCGTGGTCCGGAGGCGATAACCACCACCCCAGGAATTCTCAATAAATTTTTATTACTGAAGCTGAAGTCAAAGCCTCCTGGTGTGTGTTTGACTGCGGCCAGGGAGGGCACCCATGGGGAAGCAAACATGCGCACGCGCACACCGCGCACTCCCGGGTCCTTCCCCCGTCTCTGCCAGCAGGGGGCGCGAGGACGCTGTCGGGGGCAGGTCGGGAGAGCCTGGCCAGCTGCTCACCCTGGAAGCCCGCAGAGCTGGATCCAAAACAGGACCACGGTGGGAACCGCGGGCCTTGGGGTCCAGGCCCAGCTGCACTCCCCGCCCCGCCCTCCTAAACCGCATCTCGCCTTTGTTTACCAACATCTCCTTTTCTAAGGCCGGAGCAGCTGTGGCTTTGCTGAGCTAGACCAAAAATCTGATGATCCCAACAGGAGCTGCTTCCTTGGTAACAAGGCTCCACGCAACTGTGGGGAGACCACCTGAGCTCACCGGAGGGCTTACGTGCTCAACCCCCCGCCCTGCGGATCCTGTCACCTGCCCAGGCTGCCCGCTCTTCTCAGCCAGGGCCTGCCCTCTGGAGGTGGGCTTCACTCCCACAGCCCTGCCCCCACCGCTACCCCACAGACCAGTCGCCTCCTCCCTCCTCGATGCCGCCCTCACTGAGCGGGCAGAGAAAGGAGCCCACTGGCTGTGCTCACGTGCCACCTCACCCGTGTCCCATTCCTTGTATTAAGGGAGACAGGGAAGGGTGGGAACCGGAGGATGGTCGGCACCTGGGGCGGAAGTGTGTGCAGAAGTCAGGGAGTTCTGGTGACGGGGTTAGAGAGCAGGGGCTCACCTTCAGCTGCTTCTCGGCTTCTGAAGAAATTAGATTAACTGGCCCCTGCTCACTGTCATGACAGGGACAGGGAGACAAAGCCCTAAGGAGCTGGGAGCTCCAGGGGAGAGGTGAATGAGCCAGAGTCCAGTCCACAATTTCATTTCCTTCACATCCCTGAGGCAGGAAGGGGATGGAGGTGCCCAGAGAACCAGCCTGTGTGTCCAGATCCCCTGGGGCTCTGAGGCAGCCATTTTGATTCCTCCTATTGTTTCCCTTTCCTAGTGACTTCCCCCACCTCCCCAAGGGTAAAGGTCAGAGGTTGCTGGTCCGGAGGGCTCCGTAGTCTTCAGGCCTCCCTGAAGGTCATTGCCGAGGGCACCAGCCGGGGGCCATCTTTACCAGACAGTGTTAGGAGCTTCACCATTAGACCATCCAACACTGTGCTGGAAGATGGACCCAGAGCAGGTCACAGACATCCAGGCTGGAGCTGGCCAGTCCCTCCAGGGACCCTGGCCGCGGGCCAGCTGAGGTCTCTTGAAGGTCTACTAGCCAATCCTAAACTCCAGGTCAGCTGTGGGTCCTAGATCCTCCAGATGACAAATCCCACTGGGTTGGGGGAGGGGCTGGGGCCATTGTGTCCCTTCTGTGGGCAGCCAGCCAGCCAGCACTCTCCACTCAGAAAGAGGGGGCCTCCAGGGCTGGGGCGGGGAGGTTTGGGAGTGGGGACGCCAGCAGCTGTGCGCAGGGAGCCCCTGAGGCCGTGGACGTCGCTGGCACTGAGACAGGGGCCTCCATCATTACCCGGCAGTATTAGAGACTCCCAACCAGCACCCAAACACTGCTGGGTAAGACGGGGGCTCCCACCCCGCCGCCCATCCAGGGCCAGTCCTAGGCCCAGGCCCCCATCCCCCACCATCCGCGTCCCTGGGGACACTTCCGGGTGAGCCTGCAGCGGCCACCAGCCCCACCCTGGGTTGTTGATCCACTGAGGCCCAAGCAGAACTTCGGAAGCCCCCTGACCATCTCTTCTCCACCCAGAGCCCCTTCCCCACCACCCCCAAAGCCAGTCTCTGCCCCCACACACCAGCTCCCCGCCCTCAAACCCCTTCAGCAATCCCTAGCCTGGCCCCAGGACCCCTCTCCCATAGTCTTTACCTGTCACCAGGCCGCCTGGCCCCCAGAGAGCATGGGCCACGGAGAGCAAGGGGAATCAAGGCCCAGGATTCAAGGCCTCGGAGCCGCCCTGGCCTCCACTCTTCCTTCTTCCTTCTCTCCTGCCGGGCAGCGCAGTCTCCTCACCTGGGCCCCGCCCGCCGCCCCTGCGCACAGGTGTGTCCTCCCGCCATAGGCTGCACCCCGCTGCCTTAACCCCTTCCCTCCCAGTGCCAGCCACAGGCACCTCCTCCGAGGCCTAGTCATCCCACCAGAGGCCCCCAGCCTTTGCCACAGTCTGTCCTCTGCTACCTGCCTCCTTGGATCCGGGGCCCAGGCCAGGGAGGCCTTGTCGCCAGAAGAACAAAGGACAGAGCTGCCTTTGGGCCCCTTCGCCTTCCTCCTTGGGCCTCACCCCACAGCCGCTCCTGCCCCCTGTCCGCTAGCCCTTTCCTCTGAGTCCTCTGCCAGAGATCCTGAGGTCAGAGGGGGCTCAGCTCAGCAGGGACTGAGTTCGACCCCCACCCAGAACATCCTAGCCTGCGGAGGGCACAGGGATCTCCGAGGGGCACCTCCCTGTCCTCACCCTTAGTGTTGGGGCCCCTGCCAAGAGTCCTGAGTTCCTGGTCAGGAACCTCTGCACTGACCCGGCCGATTGGAGTTCTGAGGGCTTCTGCAGCCCTGGCCGCAGTCCCCGTCTCCACTCTTCAGAAGGACCAGGCACCTCATGAGGCAGAGCCACCCCTGGACCCACCTCGAAGCCCAGGAGAAGCCAAGTCCCAGCCTCCAGCAATTAGCCCAGGGCGGTTCGAGGGGTGGGACCCGCCTTTCTTTTGTGCAGCTCAGCTGGGAAGAAAGGGTTGCTGGGAGAGGGGCCCGGAGGCCCACAGGTGATGCTCCACCCTCGCACCCCCTGGAGGGTGACAGCTCCAGGGAGCTGAGATGCCTGCCGAGTTTCCCAATCCCAGCTCTCTGCCTCCACCTTTGTTTGTGAGCCTGCTAAGTTCCTTCAGTGGTGTCCCACTCTTGTTGCCCGCCAGGCCCCTCTGTCCAAGAGATTCTCCAGGCAAGAATACTGGAGTGGGTTGCCATGCCCTCCTCCAGGGGATCTTCCCAACCCAGAGATGGAACCCAAGTCTCTTATGTCTCCTGCACTGGCAGGTGGGTTCTTTACCACCTGGGAAGTCCACCTTTGTTTGCTTCCTTCTTAATTCGGTTTTTTTTTTTTTTCCTTCTTAATTCTTGTCTGTACTTATTCTCTGTTTGTGGACTGTTTCTGGGTCTGCCTTTCCCACTAGTCTCCTCGATTCCACAATGACAGGAACAATCGGATCCACTACCTCGCCCCAGCACTGCTCCAGCACCAGGGACGTGGGGACACTCAATACAGAAAGTGTCCACTGAGCAAATGACCATCCAGTCTCAGCAGGCCCAGTGGCAGGGAACCGGGCCTTACCGAGTAGGGCTCTCTAAGACTCAACTCCCCAGGAGACCAGCATTTTCAATCAACATAAAACAGGAATCATTGTTGTCCACTGCGTACACACAGAAAGTGATCAAAAATAAAACTAGGGGAGCCTGGTGGCTCAGTGGTGAAGAATCCACTGGCCAATGCAAGGGACACAGGTTTGATCCCTGGACCAGGAAAATCCTACGTGCCACAGGACAACTAAGCCCATGTGCCACAACTACTGAGCCTGTGCTCTAGAGCCCAGGAGCTGAAATCACTGAGCTCACGTGGTCCAACTACTGAAGCCCAAACGCTTTAGGGCCCATGTCTCACAAGAAGACTGTCACAATGAGAAGCCCACACACCACAACGAGTAACCCCCACTCGCCACAACTAGAGAAAACCCCTAGCAGTGATGAAGGCCCAGCACAACCAGATATCAAATAAATACATTTTTTTAAAAAACTAAGACTCTGATCAAGAGCCTAAAGGTAGCAGTGGCCCCAGGAAGGGAGGAGCCAGGCGGTCCTGAGAGCACCAGGTGTCCAGAGGGCAGGGACAGCAGGCAGCTTGGCTCTGGGCCTGTGCTTCATGGCCTTGATCCATCTTCTTAGCGCTTGGACCCAGAAGTCAGGCCAGAGAATGTGGTTGTGTCCCCCCTCGGAGTGACCCCGGCTGCGTTTCCAGGAATGCAGGCTCTGGGGCCCAACGGCCTGAGTTAAAATCTTAGTTTCACTGCTCAACAAACAGTCCTGTGGCCTCGAGCAAGTTATTTAATCTCTCTGTGTCTCAGTCTGTCCCACTGAGACAGTCTGTCGGACTGATACAGGTACCTCGGTTCAATACGTTTAGTCTTGGTTTTGTTCTTTTCTGGGGGCGGGGGTCTTGTTTTTTACATTTTTTTGGCCATGCCACATGACCTGTAGGATCTTAGTTCCCTGACCAGGGATCTAACCTGTACCTCTTGCACTGGAAGCTCGGAGTCTTAACCACTGGACCACCAGGGAAGTCCACAGTGCTTTTAGTCTCTTAAACCAGACCTGACACATGGCAAGAGTGTAATGAATTGGGATTTCCCCGGTGGTCCAGTGTTTGGTTAAGATTTCCTACTTCCATTGCAAGGGGCCCAGGTTCCATACCTGGTCAAGGATGTAGATCTCACTTGCTGCAATTAAAGAGTTCACCTAATGCAACAAAAGATTCTTCATGCTGCAACTAAGACCCAGTGCAATGCAATAAATACAATGTGTAAAAAAAAAAAGTGTGATGAATTATTATTGCCAGTTATATCACCATCCCTGACCTCAGTGATCTTCACAACCACCCTGGCAGGATCACCCTCCACTTTAAAGAAAAGGAAGAGACAGCCAGACTTGGCTGGTGCTCACACTCACCTGTTAGACTGTGAAGGCTCCCTGCCTGTCTCCCCCTCCCGCCAGGCACACCAAGTTAGAGACCCACACACAGTGACCTAGAGGCTTTATTTACAAGAGGAGAACAGCCTGGCCCCGCCTGGGGCCTTGCTGGGCTATATACATAATCCCAGGGGAGGGAGGTGGGGACACGGCTATTTAAATTACAATAGAATGGGGGGGGAGGTGTTGCTCCAGGTTCAGGCTGTGGGTCATCCACTGGAGGCCTCTGCAGAGACGGGGCTGAGGCTGCAAAGGGAAGGGAGGAAAGGATAAGGCGGGGCTGGACCTGGAGTGGGAGACAAGACGCAGGTCTGGTGGATCTGTGAAGTCAGGGTGAGGCCACAGCCGCCCCCTCTATCCGGGGCAGAAAGCCCAGCTGGGGGGCCCCAGAGACAGGCCAGGGAAGGGCCGTACCGTGGCCGCCCCAGGACAGGCCCGGCTCACTTCCTCTTCAGGGAGCCCTTGTTCTTCTCCTTGTCCGCTGACCGCTGTTTCTTCACCTTCTCCTCCTTCTTGTTCTTACTGTGCACATTCTCATACACGTCCTCCTTGTGTCTGCAGGGCGGGGGCCAGCGGGTCAGGAGACAAGGGCGGGGTTCCCCAGCACCAGCCTGGGGTGACATGGGGTCACCCCATCTCACAGGTGAGCAAACTGAGGCCAGGAAAGCAAGGACACCAGCCCTGACAGCGTCCTGACACTAGACTAGAAGCTCCTAGGGGCAGGGGCATCATCTCACACATCAGTATACTCAGCCCAGGCCCCACGTGGAAGGGCACTCAGGAGACATTTGTGAATACAGGTTGTAAGAACCAAGCTTATACTTGAACCCGAACCTCCCTGATAAGGAAGGTCAGGCTAGGCAGGGGCCACTCACTTAGAGGAGGTGCGGGAGGCCTTGGCGTGGGCGTTCTTCATGGCTGGCGGGTAGGTGATATTTCCGTATTCCGATTCCCGGCCCTTCTGGGACTGCGGGGAGAGGTGTGGTGGGAGGCCGGTGGTCCCAGCAGCATCCCATGACGCCCACTGGCCCCCTCAGCCCAGCCAGGCCCCTGCTCTGCCCGCACCTGCATGACCTCCAACTTCTTCTTGGTGGTCTCAATGAACTGGGCAATGGCCACATAGATGAACTTGTACTGCGCCTCCGTCTGCACCATGCCCGAGCGCTGGGCCCGCACCATCTGGATGGTCTTTTGGATGTCGATGTCACAGTCCAGGCCTGGCCAAGAGGGCAGCCGGATGTCAGGCCCCGAGCGAAGAAAGAGGCGGGGGGCTGCTCACCCACCAGTCCCAGCGTCCCCCACCGGTCACCCTTACCCTTGGTGGAGATGCTCTCCATGAGCATGTCGATGACAA